TAAAGGCTTGCACGGAAGACTGATAAATGTTAAATACTGCTGCTCAAAGTCAGGCATATATGCTCATTTATTTCGCGTGATCTTCTTTATGTACATGTGCCACTCCGCTAAAATGCGGAGTCCGGAAGGATGAGACTCCAGGATTTTACTTCTCCAGAATTTGCATAAACACGTATCAGTTCCTGATTTCGCTCTCTAATTTCTGACATCAAGACACAATTTGAATCGAATTCGTTACTTAAAAATAGAATAAACTGGTGTTAATATTGTTTTTGTGAGACTAACGTCGACAAAAGAAATTAAATTGCCTGACTGCGGCGGATACTGCGCAAGGCAAGTCTTCAGCTCCAGTTACAGTCACATTCTGCGCTAAACCTACTGATGGCTAAAAATATTATCGGAGAGCGGGACGTCCTTTTTTTTGCGCACTGATATATCCGAAACCCGAGTGTGGGCAAAAACAGTCACAGTAGGTCAAGTTGCGTTGTCCCATATGTGTCTGTTTTGAAAATTACTAAATATTTGCTTCTGCAATCAAATTTTTGCAGGCGCTGATGGAGCACCCGGAAACGATGGCGCCCCAGGACAAGATGCTCCACCGACTGCTGTACCAGGACCTGGAGACTTCTGCTTCGATTGCCCACCAGGACCAGCAGGGCCAGCTGGAGCAGCTGGTCCTAAAGGGCCACCCGGCCCGGCAGGCCAAGCAGGTACTGGTGGCGGCGCTGCTCTTCCTGGGCCTCCGGGACCAGCCGGACCGCCAGGACCCCCAGGAGCGTCTGGATCAATGGGACCGCCTGGACCACCTGGAGCAGCCGGACAAATTACTCAAGCACCTGGAACTCCTGGACCAGCAGGGCCGCCGGGACCAGCAGGACCACCAGGACAGCCTGGAGCACCTGGAGCACCAGGAAATGCAGTCCCCGGACCACCAGGGCCAGCTGGAGACCCCGGACCGGACGGACCTCCCGGACAACCAGGCGCACCAGGGTCTGCTGGAGAAATGGGAGCAGGTGGAAAAGGCGGCGCGTGCGATCATTGCCCACCACCACGTACCGCGCCAGGATACTAAGATCTCTTGTAACTGTTTGTTTGGTCAAGTTTACACTTCAGTTCACTCATAATGCCGACAGCAAACTTCTCTGGACTACAACGGAAGATCGAGCTACTATTCTTTCGAACTTTAGCAGTTAACTTTTGCTGCAGTGACAGGAAGAGAAAACTTTTGTGACGATGTTACAGAACAACAAAAATAGGATTTTACCGATTTTGAAAGACCCCTGCAAAATTTCCCGGTAGATAGTAATGCAAAAATCCGTATCGTTGCTTACTGAATCTTTGTACCTGGCATTTTTTCCCGTTGCTTTCACTTGCACACAATTTTGTGCGTAATTACTGCCACTGCTTTGTACTCAGCTTCTTCTTTTCCTCTCCGAGTGTTGTTGTATAAAGCAATGAATGCTAACCCGGTAGGCTGATTCCTCAAAGCACTATCATACATTGCCATTTTTACTGCATTTGTTTTGCATAGTTTTTTTTCTCTTTTTTTTTTTAAATTGTACTGCATAAAAACTAGTTGGTAAATATTGCGTTTTATAGAAAATTTTCATTGCACTACACAGCCTTTTTTTTGTCCACTGACGATGTCATTTCCATTATTATGAATTATTTCTTACTCGAAGGTTT